CAAAATACTTCAATATATTCGTAAAAAATTGAAAAATATGCAGAGCATATGCAATAAGAGTAATTTTTTATTTGATCGAAATAGTTTATTAATATTTATTATTTGTTTTACTTTGCATTACCTAATATAATACTCAATAATTATTTAATTATTAACTAATTTTATTTACAAATCAACATTATTATGAAAACAATTTTTCTAAATTATCTGTATTATCAGTAAGTATGTACTTGTACAAAGAAAAACTCATTTCGACATCTAAAGAAGTAATAGATGCAAACTTAAATTTTCCTGAAATATCTGGATGAATAGTATTAATATCTTCAAAGTTACCAGAATAAATATTAGAAAGGTTTCTTAAAACAATAAATCCTTCATTTTTTAAAATTACATTTGAAAATTTATGAAAAATCGTCTTTCCAATATCGCCCTCTACATTTTGACACTCTGACTCAAACGTCTTAATTAAATTTACGGAAGTCACCAGAGGTAAATTTTTTTGTTCTAAATCTAATATAATTTTGGGTACCAATGCATATTTTTTTAAAAACATCAATTGCTTTGGTAATATGTGATTTTGAAACAACTTCTTTGTATTAGATATTCCCTTAGATAAATCATCAAAATCAAATATGATTTCTCTAATTTTTTCATAATTATCTGCGAAAAAAAGGCAGGTACCCCACCGAGTAATCACAGGTTCCGGTGGCATCTGTAATTCAGGAAATTTTTCTTTGTACAATTGAGTTCTTAGAGGAGCTTTAAGATATATTTTTTTTTACATTACTAATTAAATCATTTATTAAAGGAAAGTTAGACCTAATTTCTTCTGCAACTCTGTTAAGGCCATGAGCCAAACATGTAACATGGATTAAGTTTTCATAAAACATTTTTAAATTTTGTGCGGCTTTTACCATGTACGGGGCAGCATCGGATAACAGCAATAAACATTTTTCTGTTGGAACGGCTTCCGGAAGAAAAAAAGAAGACAATTCTGTCTGGATAAAACGAGTTATTGTCAAGTTATTTGTTTTATCTAATTGCTTTGAAGCGATTGGATATGGACCAATTTGCATTTCTTCGCGTAATGAACCTATCATTAAATGGGTTATATATCGACCACAAGAGTCTGTTGTTTCATCCACAGTAATGTAGAAATTGTTTCCAATGGTAATCCCACGAATTTTTTCAAGAGTCTCAATGTACAAACTGTCAACACCACGTTTGCGTAATATACTTTGCTCTGGAATATTAAATTTACAGTATTTTTGCAAAAATGATCGGAGATTTGGATTATTTAATCGTATTAAAGGGATATTCGAAGTCACTAAAGCTTTGCATAAATCTTCATTAAAAATAGTTTGTTCACTTCTAGACGATCCAGAATCTAAATATTGTTTCAAGGGAAGTTGACTTTGTCTGCGAGTGTCTTTAGATTTCTGCTTTGCTATATGTGAGGGTGTTTTCGCGTGTTGGTCGATTTGAAACTTTTTTTTACATGGAATCTAAAACAAATAAATTCCTGTAGATGTTGATGTTTTAATTAAATTAAATAAATGTGTACGTTGTAAAGTTGCCCTACTTTTTTTTAACTGTGAGTTGAAATAATATTTTACTGTCGTTTGATTTACCATTGTGAAAGGTCAAAATAAAAAAGTACTTACAATTTTAGAACATGTTTTACAAAACATCTGGTTATCACCTTCTACAACAAAATCAGAATAAGATTTTACCCACGACTCAATTAATTTTACCATTTTTCCCACTGATTAACACAACGCAACAATAAAGACCGAAATGAAGTTGAAAGTAAACTGAGTAATTTAAAAATTTGAAGATATTAATACAACTACCTGAAAGGATATTTAGCAAAATTTGTTGGTTTAAGGAGGGGTTTATAATTTAATCCTCTCAAGTACCTACACCATTAACCGTAATTTATTACAGGAAAAAGTTAATCCTTTAAAATATATCGACCACAAGAGTCTGTTGTTTCATCCACAATAATGTAGAAATGGTTTCCAACGGTAATCTCACGAATTTTTTCACGAGTCTCAATGTACAAACTGTCAACACCACTTTGCTCTGGAATATTAAATTTACAGTATTTTTGCAAAAATGATCGGAGATTTGGATTATTTAATCGTATTAAAGGGATATTTGAAGTCACTAAAGCTTTGCATAAAGCTTCATTAAAAATAGTTTGTTCACTTCTAGACGATCCAGAATCTAAATATTGATTCAAGGGAAGTTGACTTTGTCTGCGAGTGTCTTTAGATTTCTGCTTTGCTATATGTGAGGGTGTTTTCGCGTGTTGGTCGATTTGAAACTTTTTTTTTACATGGAATCTAAAACAAATAAATCCCTGTAGATGTTGAAGTTTTAATTAAATTAAATAAATGCGTACGTTGTAAAGTTGCCCTACTTTTTTTTTAACTGTGAGTTGAAATAATATTTTACTGTCGTTTGATTTGCCATTGTGAAAGGTCAAAATAAAATATTAAATTACTTACAATTTTAGAACATGTTTTACAAAACACCTGGTTATCATCTTCTACAACAAAATCTGAATAAGATTTTACCCACGACTCAATTAATTTTGCCATTTTTCCCACTGGTTAACACAACACAACAGTAAAGACTGAAATGAAGTTGAGAGTAAATTGAGTCATTTAGAAATTTGAAGATATTAATACAACTACCTGAAAGGATATTTAGCAAAATTTTAGGAAATCGACCTGTAAAGGCATTTCACAAAATATTATTTTGGTCCAAAAATTTTAATATGTCTAGCCAATTAGTACGTCAGATATTTGCCAAAAAATTAACAAAATGTCAATATATGCATTCAAAATCAAAAATTGTATATATATGCAACATATGCAAAATATGGCGTTTTGCATATATTCCTAGCAATAATAATAATGCTCTCCCTAATTCACCCTTCGAGCATATATATTTTTTGCTAGAAGAATTCACCCCCTTACGAGTGAATTTCAACCCTGAAGTTGACTAAACGACTTGGGTAGGGGAAGAGACGGGTATTATTATTATTTGCCGTAGTGCTCCAGGGCGACTTAAAGATGATTGATGGTGCCATTTGATTTACAGGCGAGGAAAACCCGGAAAACCGATTTTATAACCTGCATGTCATATCAACAGAAATTGAATTTATATTAATACGAGACACACCAAATCCTACAGCGAACCAAGCAATTTAATTAAAAATCCACATGGACTCGAAGCTCCTGTCTCTGACCACAAACTTGTCTATAAATGAATATAAGCGCGTATACTATTATGACTCATGACATACTCATGGGTCAAAATGGTATAAAGACGGCGCTATACGCCGACGACACTTGTGCCTATAAAACATCGCATTCTGCTGAAATCGCAAACAGAAGGCTGGATATCCACGTCAATCGAACGTTGGTTCCTTATCTGGAACGAAACAAAATAAAAATCAATCCTAATAAAACAGAGAGTATGATATTGATACACAGGTGGACAGATGAAATCATCACTAACTTAAAAATACAGGGACAAACTGTGGAAACCAAAAATAAATTAAAATATCTGGGATTCGTACTGGATAGGAAACTGACGTTCTAACAGCATGTAAAGGACAGAGTTAGCAAGGCTATGGGGGCATTTAAGACCCTATATCCGCTACTGCATAGGCGCAGTGGAGTCACAACGCAAAATAAACTCCTTCTGTACAAACAAATCATCAGACCCATCTTGACATACGGAGCTCCAGTCTTCTGTTCGATGGCTAACGGAGATTTAAATAAACTTCAAACAATGCAGAGCAAGTGTATTCGGCTTGCACTGGGTTATAATCGTTACGCAAGAATCACCGACATGCATGAGCAAACATCCATCGTGCTTCGGAAACTTTTTACAAACATACATAGTTTGCCAAACAACGTCAGGGAAGACATATTGAGTATTCATGAAAATGATGGGGCGACATGGATGTTTGCACATCAACCTCAAAATTTACAGACGGGACAATTGACCTTTAAAAAACGAGCGACGCTCCCTTTACTGCGACAGACCACTAAACAACCAAGTCACACTGACCCAATGTTGCCAAGTGTCAATGAAAAAATCCGCTACAAAAATTGAAAAATTCCGCTACGTTCCGCTACGCGTTACTGATCTAGAAAGCAAACCATAAGTGTTGTATAATGCTGCTTAAGTAAGGTTGCCAAACGTCACGCTTTTGGCGTATTTGCCACGCTTTTTGACTTGCTTGTACGCTTTTTATGCAAATTCCACGCTTTTTAAAAGCGGCAGAGGAACCAGATTTACACAAAAATAGACAAATAGACAAAAGTCCGGGTAAAAGACCGTCGTTTTTACGAAAAATAAGCTGAGGACCTTTTTTTTAGAAATGTTCACAAAAAATGGACCTGATCGTCACGCTTTTCACTTTCGGAAATCTGGCAACCCTATGCTTAAGCAAGGAGGCGACATAAATTTATAAATTGATAACGGTGTGATCGACGGCTGTTGCATCGGCCAGGGACTCGTTTGAAGACAGCAGGAGAAGGTACTTCAGTTACTGAAGAATGCTACTGCATTTGAAGATCAAATACCTTTGTTAATAAAATTTATTTGTTAATATGTAAATAAAGAATTTGCAATGAATGAATATAAGCGCACGAGACCGCTACGCCACCGACTCGATATTCCCATTACCTCTGATATTGGTTTTAATTTTTTCACTCGAGAATTTGACATTTTTAATCACCCTTTTTAGAACCGAAAACCTAAAATTAATAACTTATAACAGTAAAAGAAAGTAGGGTATTGCGCAGTTGGTGAAGCCTATGTTTATATTTAGCTCTAACATGGTCTTCGGCATCTTATCAATATAATTTTAACACAAATTTAAATTTTATACGGCAAAGGAAGGAAATCAAACAAACCTTCAAATATAATAACTTTTATTTAGCGTTTCTTTTGTCAGAAACAAAATAATATCTCTATTATACTAAACTTGAAGCACCAAGGCATTCTCCGTCGATTTTTCCGCATAAACTAGGAGAATTACCCTTGGAGCTTCCATAAACTTTAGTGGAATAACCTGAATCATTGTTAGTGTCCCTGTCGACATTGTCCGGAACGTTAGAACCGACATAGTTCATTTCTAGCCTATTAGATGTCGTTACTAAAGCAGCGTTGTCACTTTCATACACTTTAGCGCTGTTTAAAATTCGTCTTTCGGCTACGGCGTTATCGTAATACTGTATTTTATACGGTTCCACGAAACCCACGTCAGTCTGAAACACCGGGACGCGCTTTTGTTGAACATAACCGCCGAAATTGTTCGTACCGTCGCGAATTTCTACGATAGGCTCGATATACCGGGGATTTTGATTCACTGTAACACTGTTCACTATTGTAGGACTGTACACGCCTGTCCTGCTCCTAGGAGCGATATCACTGGGAAATTCCAACGAAGAAGGGCCCGGATTCGAAGCTGAGGGTGGTTGTTTTTTTCTTACAGGGAGATCTTCTTCGTCGCTGCTTTCGCTGTTGTTGCCGTTGTCGGTGGCGGCGTTTAACTGTTGAATTTTGGCAACTAATTCTTTCACCGAAGGTCTACCGTGGGCGGTTTCGTCCTCTGGTGGTTCTAATTCGTCCATGCTCCTAAAATGAATAGATAAAACGTTGAATGGGTTTGAAAGTAACGAGCATTATAAATTAAATACATAAAAATTAACATTTGAATGTCTTGTCCACGTTCTAAAAGTTATCCTAAAATATATTTGTTGAATTTTTATTTTAAGTGAAGAGGTTAAACATTTTAAGTGCCTATCTACAGTGTAAAATACAAGATGAACTATCCGTCCAAATATATTTTCAAATAGAACCAGAAACAGTAAAGCTTATAAAAAAACCAGATATTAAAAAATCGATTTGACTTTTTTTATTAAAAAAATACTTCTCAAACATCTATCATATTGACAAATACAATCAAAACAATCAAGTTAACAAAATACATACTGAATGTTACAAGTTAAAAATGTGATTCAGTTTTAACATTCTCCCACCATGAGTCTTGATCTTGGTAAAGAAGACTCAATAGCCATATCTGTCGACCTTCTTAACTTCGCGCCCATACCTAGTAGTCTTCACGGGTTTTCACGAAGTGGGTGCCGCTGGCAACTCATCATCCGAGAATTCTTCATTTCCTTGTTTCGGTAAATCGGTGTTATTATCTAAAATGTCATATACTTCTTTCAAATATTCAGATTCGTCATTTGCAAAAACTTCTAATGGATAGAGTCTTTGAACAGGTCTACTAAGAATACCTTTCGATGTCTTCACTGTAACCATACGTACTTTTCCATCCTTTCCAATCCTCTTGAATAATACCCAAAGGCCATTCGATTTTTTTAGATTTTTCACTTTCAATTAAAACAACTTCAGCTTTGGCTTGCGATCTTGTCCCTAACTTTTTATTAGAAAATACTAATTGCCCTAAGTATTCATTCTTAAATATTTTCCTAATACACTCATCTAAATGTTGCTTACGTTTTAAATGTTTTTGCAGTTTTATCTAAATCAGGAACTTGATTCTCTGCAATATCTTGAATAAACATTGCAGGTGTTAATAGTAACAAATCTTTATTGCTGCTGTAAGTATAAGTTAACGGTCTAGAATTCATAATAGCTTCACAATCGCAAATTATAGTTAATATCTCCTCATAATTTAAACTAGATTTACCTAAAGCTTTCCTTAAAATTTTGTTTTAAAATCCTCATCAGTCTTTCCCAAAACCCACCCCACCATGCAGCAGCTGGCGGGTTAAATATCCACTCTATCTTTTCAACAGAAGAATACTGATGAATATTATCCCAATCTAAAGAACTTAAAATATTTTCACATCCTACAAAATTAGTACCGTTGTCGGAGTATATTATGGAAGGACGGCCTCGCCTTGCTATAAACCTCCTCAAATAATTCAAAAAAACTTTCTGTTAAACAACTTAAAACAACCTCTAAATGAACAGCTCTATAAACACTACATGTAAAAAGTCACACTCAAACCTTATCACCATTCTTTAAAAATAAAGGTCCAGTTAGATCAACTCCAACAATTTTAAATGCCCTTGCATTTTTCACTCTATCTCTAGGTAAAACAACAGAAGGTGTATCAAATTTTTTAGAATCAAATCTACGACAAACAGTACACTTCAATAAAATTCTCCTAATATTCTTCCTACCCTTAACAATCCAAAAATTTTTCCTTATAATACTTAATAACGTTTGCACGCCAGCATGACCATTATTACAATGAATTTGATATACCATTCTTTGAACTACTGGGTGCTGACCGTGTAACAAAATGAGAGTTAAAAAATATACTGAATCATCCCTTTGAAGAATCCTAGTTTTAATTCTTATAATACTATCGGAATCTAAAAAAGGATGCAAACATACAATATCCCTATCGTCCACACCTTTAAAACTTTCTTCCTGAATACATTTTATGATAAATTTCTCAGCTTCGTCCCTCTCTTGCTTTAATAAATGCCCTTCCTGCCTTCTCTTATTCTTGTTTAAACAATTATACATAAACCTTCTTATCCAGCCTAAAAGATTCACGATCTGTGAATACTTAGAAAAATACTGAATAATCAACTTCAGCTTTCAATAATGAAGAAAGGGTGTTCCTTTTTTTCCTTCGATACTAATTCTTCCTCAACTACATACTTCTGCAGAGGCCACTTGGAAACATTCAATACCCAACTCGGTTCCTCCCACCAAGAAGATTATACAAGCTTTTTAGGAGAACAACCTCTCGAAACAAGATCGGCAGGATTCAAACTCCCTGCAACATGATATCTTCCTTTCTGGTGAGAGTACGTATTTCTTTTACCCTATTCCAAACGAATGGTTTCCACATATCTTCTCTATCAATCCAGGATAGAACAGTAGTTGAATCGGTCCAACAATAAACATCAACTTCCCCAGAAGGCAAATTTTTTAAAACAAAACTCAGCTACCTCGAACCAAGAGTAACCGCTAACAACTCCAGCCTACAAATAATTAATTTCTTGATAGAACAAACACGATTCTTTGCCTCAACCAACTCTACAACGACTCCACTAGCTAACTCTGTCCTTAAAAACACTACTGATCCATAAGCCTGCTGATCGCATCACAAAATAAATGAAAACTCTGATGAATTAAGCCAGAAACTGGATTTTTAAAACCCATCTGGGAATTTCTAAAAAAGCCAAAATACTTAAATCTCCAACCCAGTCTAAGAATTCCTTCTTAATGTCATCAGGCACCTCAACATCCCAGCCTATTTTCTGAACCCAAGTTTTCTGTAAAAGAATTCGAGGAACAAGTTGAACACGGCACGAAAAACCAATAGGGTCAAATAAACGGTGAGCTATTGATAAAATTAAACTTTTCGTAACCATATCCAACTTAATATCCTGAAACCATTACATATTTAACAATAATGTATCCCTATGACGATTCCAATTTAAACCTAAAACAGGTGAAATTACATTTCCTAAAACTTGGTCACCAAGGACAGTATGCTCCCAACAACGAAGTACAAATTTTGCAAGGTCTATTACCTGGGTAGCCTGGGACATAAAACATTTCAATGGTTCCTCATCTTTTACACTTGTAACAGCATTGTCAACATAAAAACTCTCTAATAATTTTAAAATAACATCTTCTGAAAAAACGTCAACACCTTTCCTAGTTTCAACTAAGATATTCTGCAAATGGAATTGTATGACAGCATGTCAAACCAAAAACAACCCTTCTGTGTCTATACGTCTTCAGTTGCCCATTAATATCATACCACAAATATTTTAAATAATCTCTATCTTCTTCCATGAGGCTAATTTGTAAAAATGCTCTGCTGATATCAAAAATAACACCTAATTTCTCAAGGCGAAAACGTAGTAGGATCAACTCTTAAAGATTTACTCTATACACATATTAAGGGATGGAGCACTCTTTATTCTGGCTGAAGCATCAAAAACAGGCCGCAATTTTGAAGTTTGACTGCTCAACTTAATAACGTGCCTATGTGTCAAATAATGTCCCACTTCAACCCTGCCTATCTTGTCTTCGATCACTCCTTCAGCCAGCCATTCCCTAAAAACTTCATCATAAAGATCGTAGTAAATATATTTCTTTAATTTTAACATTAAATTGTCTAAACGCCTTTTAGCCATATTATAATTGGAAGGCAGAGGTGGATGATCATTTACCCAACACAAACCAACTTCGTACCTATCTTCACCGTCGAACTTAATAGTATTTACAAATTGTTCCCACATCACTTGCTCCTTATATTTCGTGGACATACTCTCCTCTGGAGAAACTATACCTAAAACGTCTAAGTTCCACAAATTCTGAATACTTGCATCCATAGACAAGAGAGAAATAACTATCATGGAATTGGAGTGTGAATATTTCCCGGGGTTCGAGGAACTTTACCCATCAAAACCCAACCAAGACGAGTTTCCATAGCAACTAAACCGCTACTCAATACAAGCCTCCTACCAGTAAACAGCCTACCATCTACATCCGCACCTATCAATATTTCTATAGTCCATCATGAGTATCAGTTACCACTATACTTTTTTCCTGAAACTCCTTTAACCACGAACCATCTCTGACGGATACAACATTTCGACATATAAGAGGCTGATTTAAAACATTAAAATTACAAGAATAATTTCCATCAGCATTCACTAGATTCAATTTATAAATATTATGAGTAACAAGATGGGACTCATAATCTCCAAAAAGTGCATGTATTACAGACTCTACCCCAAACTGACTTATAACCCATTTTAGATACTAACAATTTACTGATGTATGAGTGTTGAGAGCCAGTGTCAACAACTGCCCGTACATATCTACATATTGCGCTGTTAGTGGCCTTAACAACTAGAGTTTGCAAAAAAGTTTCATCAAAAGTATTATTTGAGAGGGTATCAACTGTAAGGCTGTCAACTTGATCAACTGAATTTGACCCTACGTTTGTATTCACCAAATTCTTGGTGCATACAATCGTAGCATGTCTTTCTTTACATGCCGAACAAAAAACTTTAACATGACACTTTTTGGCAATATGTCCAAATTTCGAACACTTATAGCAACGACCTTTATCAGTTAAAAAATTTATTTTTTGATTAAATGACCAGGTGTTCAGCTCATTATAATCTTCAGCAATATAATTTTTATTACAAAAAATACAATATAAATCCTTTTTTACTTTCCTATCTGTATACAGATATAAGGAAAGTATAGGAATCATGATTTTTTTCGACCTCGAGTTTTCGACGGATTTTTACGTTTTGAGGTCCCCTGAATCCGTTTTGACTATTTTCGCGATGATGTCTGTGTGTGTGTGTGTGTGTGTGTGTGTGTGTGTGTGTGTGTGTGTGTGTGTGTGTGTGTGTGTGTGTGTGTGTGTCTGTCTGTGTGTGTGTGTGTGTCTGTGTGTGTCTGTGTGTGTGTGTGTGTCTGTATAACGCATAACTCATGAACCGATGCACAGAAAAACACCAAATTTTAAACTTAAGCTTTATTCCAGCGTCCAATGAGCTGATTAGATTTTGGGCAGAGTCGGAACATCTGGGGGGGTACTTTATAGGTGGTAATTTTTATATTTTATGGAATATATCTGTTATTTACGTTTGGAGAAGAAAATTCTTTAAATAAAAGTTACTTCTTATATAATTATCTATAATTTTTGTTCTATACAAAATTTTCCTAAAATGGTCCGTATTCGAGAAATTTGACAAAATGTAAAAAAAAAATATTTTTTTTTAAAAATTGTTCAAATAAAAGTTGTTTGTCATATAATTCTCTATAATTTTTATTCTATACATAATTTCTCTAAAATGGACCGTATTCGAGATATTTGAGAAAATGTGTAAATTTCGAATTTTGAAGAAAACTCAAAAACGGATAAAGAAAAAAACATTAAATTTGAAACGTAAGTTTTATTTCGGCCTGACGTGAAATGATTAGATTTTGGACATAGTCGGAACATCTGGGGGGGGGGGGTACTTTATAGGAGGCCACTTTTATATTTTATGGAATATATCTGTTATTAATGTTTGGAGAAAAAAATTGTTCAAATAAAAGTTACTTCTAATATTATTATCTATAATTTTTGTTTTATATAAAAATTTCCTGAAATGGTCCGTATTCGAGAAATTTGAGAAAATGTGCAAAATTCTGATTTTTATGAAAGTTGTTTGCGATATCGATCTCTATAATTTTTGTTTATACATGATTTTTCTAAAATGGACCGTAATGAAAAAATTGTAGGAAATTTAAATTTTTCAGTATTTTCGTTTTCCATGAATATGTGGACAATGTATATATTTAGTTTATCCTCTAAACATTTATAGACATGCTGCAATAGGTTGTACAAAACAACCGGAAAAAGCCTATAATAAAAAGATAATGACAAAACAAAAACTAGATAGGAAAGTCATGTGTTGGACACATCAGATTTTTTGATTAAGAAGACCTGATGCAGTAGGAATATTGAATCTGTTTCCCTGATTAGAAAATGAAGGTTTTTTTTTTAATATAATCAAAACCAGAAACTGCCAAGGAAATACGCTCTTCATTTTCTACCTCCTTTCTTAGAAAAATCATTGAAACATCTAAACGTGAATTCAAACTAGATTCTATATCATAAATATTAGTGCGTTGCCATGCTCTCAAGACTTCTTCTGGTACCATAGGATAGAGCATTGCTGCGTATTTATCGGATATTACACCTAGAGTTTCTAAAGACCATAATTGAGATTCGATACTATCATACAATTTTGTTAAGCTACTTTTGGTATTCAAATTATTGAGAACTAATTTTAATAACATAAAATTCAACAAGTAAATCATCACGACCGAACCTAGACTTAAGACTTTCGATGGCCTTTGGGTAGTTATCATTAGTAGGTGGATAACTTTCTTCTAAATGTCGGGCTGTATACTTTGGTGTTGTAGCTTGAATAAGATATTGGAACTTTTCCCACATTTTAATAGTTTTAAGGTAAGAAAAAAATATTTTATAGCGTTTGCAGGGCAAAAAAAGTATTTTGAAATGTGTTTCAGAAGGTCTAAAATCGTTAAAAAAAAATTAAAGAAAATAGCCAGTTCGACTGTTGGCAGATTTTTCCTCTTCTAGAGCCATGTCCTCATCCTCATCAATACGTTTAAATTGTGACCAAAATGTTAACCAATTCTTAATATCGCCGCAAAATTTAACAAATTTTATCTTTGGCAACTTCAAACTTGTTTTGTTACTCTTAACTGACTCTATCGCATCTGAATTAAATAGTTGATCTACAGAAATTTTAATAGACTTATACTTGCGATTAACATCATTCATGATCTCTACTTCTTGTAGAATAACTCTCTCATCGCAAACTTCATCCAACATATAACCTATTAACTGATCATGGAGATCAACCACGAAGACACCTTTTTTCCTAACATTTCAACATTGCATTTTAACACCATCTGGTCAGGTTCCTTGCTCTTAAGAAGCGTCTCCGTTTCATCACAAATATTTTGGAAAGAAACGCATACATCTCCAAAATACTTCTTGGTCTTATCCATCTCGATGGGATCTCGCCGGGGCCTCCAAAAATGTAAAATACAAGATGAACTAACCTTCCAAATATATTTTCAAAAATGATCCAAGTATGGAATAGAACCAGAAATAGTAAAACTTATAAAAAAAATAGAGAATTAAAAAATCGATTTGACTTTTTTTTATTGAAAAAATACTTCTCAAACATCTATTATATTGACAAATACAATCAAAACAATCAAGTCAACAAGTTAACAAAATACATACTGAACGTTACAAAATAAAAATGTGATTCAGTTTTAACATACAGGGTGGACCAATTATTTTTGCTTGGAGCGTAGCAGCTAAATTATACTTCGTTTTTTAAACTTCTGTTTAGTTGGGAGTTAAAATAGACTAAAATGTCTAACAATTTAAGGAATTAAGTGTACGAAAGGCATAATGCTAAAAATAATAAAGTGGCACAAATATCAAAATTTGAAATCAAAAGTACATAGATTCGCCTCCGTTAAATCGTTTAAAAAACTTACCTCGTAGTTGTTAATTGTGGTTTGTCGGCTTCATACAACATCTCCAAACTCCTGGATCGAGGTAAAAATACTTCTTTATCCCTATTACTAGTCGCCAGAACTCTTTCGGATCGTCTACCCTGTTGACCTCGCTTCAATTTCTGCTCCAAACCGATTACCCTCTGTCTCAGTCTAAAGTGGGCCTTTTGCAATTCCTTTTTGTCCCTTTCGATTCGTGCTTCTAAGTGTTTAAATAACGGTGCGCAATAACAAGTGTAACCTACTCCGATGGGACCCTTGCAAATATTACCTTAAAAATAGAAATACAACAATGAAAACATTTTATTCGCCTTGGATTTCATGACAGCTTGTGTATGCGAGGTGCGGCCATAAAACACCGGACTGGTCACCAGGGTCAAGATCATAAAGAACACGAACATAACAAGTGACATATCCCTTTCTATTGCTGTCATTTTCAAGGTTACGCTCCGCTTAATTGGGCCATGATTGGGCCGTAGTCGTCGTTCGAAGTGGATCTTGCATTTGTGGCCAGACAGACAAATATTCAATTGTTCAAGTAAACCAACGGGTCAATGTGAAATTCGAGAGGTTGTTGGCCAATCATTGACACCACCATATTAGAAACATCTAACTATTTGCCAGATCTTGCCTGATGTGAATTTTTTATTACTTAAGGTCAAATCAGTACTGAAAGGAGCCAGATTTTAGATAATATAAGTTGTGAAAGAAAACTGCTTTAACCAATGGAAAATTGTAGACTGTGGAGGAAAGTATATTAAAGTGGAGAATGTTATAATTGAGAATGAAAAGTAATCCAATTTTTTATGACCACACCTAGTATTTGTAATAAACTTTGCTTGCTACTTGAAAGGTCCCTTTGCAGTTATCCCAATCAGCACACATAAGAGAGAGAAAGAAGGGAATATGGCTGCGATTTTGCCTCTACCTACAAGTGTGTCTTTCAAGCAGCTAGCAAAATGATTAAGTAATTACTGAAGAAAAATTAATCGTTACCTGCTAGATCTAAATAATACTGTTCTCCTTTTCTTAATGGCTCTTGGGGCAAAGAATCAAGCCTCGGTGCAGGAAAATTTTTGCTATCAGGAAAATAATGGCATCCATATGGCGACCACGGTTTTTGATCTAATGGCAATTCTGCAATAAACATATAAGTCTTATGTAAAGAAAATCAGACGTCACTGTGTATAAAAATTGTAATATAAATAAAAAAATGATTCCTCTGTAATAAAAACTGCATTTGAATTTTAAAACTGGGCAAAGCCGCCCCGTTTGACGGTACTATTATTAAATAAAAAATCTTACCTTTCCCTGCGGTTTCGTCGAACTTAACTTTACTTTTGGTCCTCTTTTTCGCTCCTTTGGCTTTCTTTCCCTCTTTAGAAGCTCCGCTTTCGTCCAGAATATCCATAATTTCGAACAAATCTTTCCGCATGGCGATATCGGTGGCAGTTTCGTTTTGCTTGTTTCGAATCGTCTTGTCGCAACCAGCTTCAAGAAGGATTCTAGTGAGCTTTCGACGACCCATTGCCGAAGCGATGTGCAGGGCCGTATCGCCGTTTTTGTTTTGTTCGGAGACTCGGCACTGAGCTGAGATTAGAATTCGAGTTACGCCAGCGTGTCCGTACCTAAAATTTTTGTTTTTATTAATATTGGAAGTGTTTATGTCTTATATGAGACCAAGTCAGGGACGTATTTACAACTTTACAACATAACCGTTTGGGGTCTTTCCCCGGAATATTTTGAAACATTTGAGTTCGAATTTACAGTTATTACACTCTCAAAATAGTTATTTTTCGTGTTGTAATTTGCGTTGGCGGGATTCGCAAAATTTTAATGGTTGATATTCGGCTAATATTCGCATTGTTGCCTACGCCAATGTTTAAAATAAAGAGAATCGACTATTTTTTTAAGAAAAAGGTGCAATTCAAATTTTACCAAGACATAAAATAAAAATAACTTAAAGCCATTATCACATAATAATAATACGACCGACCGTTAATAATACGACCAACCGTTAATAATACGACCGACCGTTTCCCTCAGGAAAACAACTACTCCTTGGCTAATACCACAACAGGCATTGAATTACATCCAAAGGAAAACAACAGAGATAAAAAACCTTTCCCAGATAGCACACGTGTCTTGGTTTGGTCTCAATGTCCTAAGACGTTATTAAGACGTCTTATAAGACGTCTTGTAAAAGCCATAATTCAGATGTATTAATGTGAGAGCTCAAAGACAATCTTAAGACGTCTTGCCAAATCCATATATAAATATGAAAGCTCAAAGACGTCTGACAAACGTCTTTCAGTTGGACGGAAACTTTCACGGTTTACATATTTCAAATTTAACAAGAAGAATCAAATGAAGTCAAGTTTGATGTTTGACTTAACATTACATTCAAGCCGGACTTCCAATTCGGACACCGTCGTGGCAACATTGAAATGGCGGTCTCCGAATCGGGAGCCCAGAAGTCCCATAAAAATCACAAAATATCTAGTATAAAAGTGACCATCCGACTTTAAAAAGTATACAAAATGAAACAAAATATTCAGTGTAATATTTGGAGAAGAATATTGAAATTAAATATCAAGTACAGTGGAAAAGTGAAGACAGAAGTCTGACGCAGGAGGGTGCAGCTTTTCCACTTAACTAAATTTGAAAAAATAAATAGTGCTGGGTAAATAATCCTCAAAGATTGAGCCCATATAAAACGAAGAAAAGAAGAAGTACATTCAAGCCCAAGCCAAAAATGTATATGGCCCAAGCTCATTGTGGATTATTGATTATTTTATTGCGTACGCGATTATAGCCACCAAAAGCGTCTTTGGGCTATTTTGAGCATTTGTGTTTCTACTTAAATAATATGGATTAAGTGTAAGGGGTTAAAGAAAATGGGACAAAAACCAGAGAAGAAAGAATAGTTTCTGTTACCGATGTAGCACGTTCCTGGAATACAGGTAATAAATGAATATTTGTTTATATACATAGAACATTAATATCCTGTTTCTTCTAAGTAAGAATAATTAAATTAATTTTAAAGTAAACATCTTAATATAAGATTTAATTCAGATATACGTTAATTACCATTTTTGTTTGGTTTTATGGATATTTTGAGAACTATTAATATCAAAAACCCCCTATTAGATAGTCATTTTGAGTGAAGTTAAAGTAAAAATGTTAAAGTAGGCGATTAAGCATAATAGCTCATATTGCATTAAATGATTATAAAAATTCTTTGATTTAAAATTCTAAGAAATTAATTTTTTGTTTTGTTTTATAGATAACTGTTATTTCGGCTTCTACTAACTTTTGCAAAGTATAATTTTCTGTGACTAGATGCTCTTAACTAAATTTCTTTTTAAGAACTATACGAAGGCAACTACAAATCAAAGAGAAAGAGAAAAATCAGTCCAGTTATGGCTAAAGAGGAGTGATCGAATGTGCTACAAAGAAAATAACTCTTAGTGACCTGTGATTAATAGATATTTTTACAATAAATATTTTTAATTCTATTTTTTGCATTCTTTATAACCTTCAAGGTTATTCTACTTTTTAATAACCAATATATCCGACGTTCTCCGTTCATAAGACATCTTAAAGACGTCTTATTTATTTATGGCTTCACAAGACCATTATAAGCTATTAATAAGTGGTCTTATTTATGGCTTATTTAAGCCTTAAATAAGACGTCTTTAAGACGTTAAGGGGGTTTTTGATATTAATAGTTCTCAAAATCTCTATAAAACCAAACAAAAATGGTAATTAACGTATATCTGAATTAAATCTTATATTAAGATGTTTCCTTTTAAATTAATTTAATTATTCTTACTTAGAAGAAACAGGATATTAATGTTCTATGTATATAGACAAATATTTAATAATTACCTGTATTCCAGAAACATGATACATCGGTAACAGAAACTATTCTTCCTTCTCTTAAAGACGTCTTTCAGGAAATACCAGACGTCTTAAAGGCGTCTCTAATATCTTATGTTAGACGTCTTTAAGACGACTTTGTGCTATCTGGGTTGTTGCATGTTTCATTCCAGTGATTTGTGAATCTTATCACCCGGCGGTTTTTGGTCGCTGATTACGAATCCATTGTGAAAAATATAAAATTCAAAATGATGGATCCAATATGGCGGGCGAATTTTTTAAAGCCAACCACATTCGCTTGAAACTTGTCACTCAGAAGTTTTTGGAGTCGCTGATTACGAATGCGACGTCAAAAATACAAGATTCAAAACGGTGGATCCAGCCCAAGCAGCAAGGAGCCGTTATTATGACGTGATTTTTTGGGTTTACTCGCAGACGTTACTTTGACGTCGTTCTTGCAACGTTAATTAGACGTCAATACAGAATTTTGTATTATTAATTTATCCGAAATACAATATCCTAATCAGTAACGTGTATTTGACGTCGCATTGATGATATAGAATAGACGTCACTTAGAATTCGTCATAATTACGTTATTTTTTCGAATATTTCTGGCAATGTCATATTGTCAATTGTCATTGATGTTTCCTGTTTCCTCCATCTTCATGATTCTCATGATCGACAGTCGTGATCTCGTGAACTTGGTCCATTTTTAAATTGTACTTTATTTGATAAGATGTTTTAGAAAAAGGTAAACAATAGAATGTGACAAAATAATAAATTATATTAAACCGAATTTGGTATTTTACAGATTTATTGCATTGTTGAGTTTGAAAAACCGGATGATGACGGTCTGGTGGTTGTGAGGTGAGAGGTGAGCAGAAAATGGCCGACGCTGCGTAAAAAGCAAGTCTTTTGGCCGCCTTTATCAAGAAATATATAAAGAAATATAATATAAGACTCGCGAGTAATGTTATACTTTTATTTTATTATTATGAGTTCTTTCAGGGTATTTTTTTAATAGTTTATTTAAAAATAAAAGATTTGTAGGGGGTCACAAGATTTAGATACCTTTTATCATCTCACAGAATACATGATCCTTTTTTTTATTAACTTTTATTATAACCTCTGAGAAGGTAGTTTTTGGGGCTACTACCTCAATATCCGGTGAAGATTTTACAACTAGATACACAATTTACTTTCTATCTTTAAGAATTTTCAGTGGTCTGTATTTTAATAGTTCTTTTATTTTAGATGATAATGGTGATGTACCAAATTAAAAAAAGTCGAAGTTACCTCAGGTCTACATTCCGAGGCTGATAAAGTACCTACTAAAAGAAAACAGATGCCAACTAGAAAGCTGTCATTCGATAATACTGAAGATGATAAAATCGTAAAGCATGCTCGCCCACCCTCAATTAAAATCAAATCTACAATTTTAGTTATGTTGTGTCAGTTCCTCTAATATTTTGAAATTTTATTCCTTTTGGTTTCTTGCTCATGACTTTCTTATTTACCAGTGTAATTTATTTTTTATAATATATTTTTCATGTTTCTTGATTAAATAAATAACTTTCATCTGCTTAGTATTTTTAATAATTCCATATCCAACCTTGGGACACCCAATATAAACGTCACTTTGACGTTAGGTAGATTCGTGATAATGACGTCAATTTGCCTAGCCTAGGACACCCGATATACACGTTACTTTAACGTGATATCGATTCGTCAAAATAACGATATGGAATGACGTCATTTCGCTGTGACATTCTCACGTTACAATAACGTTATTTTCACGTCATCAAATGACGTAACGCACACCAAAAAATCACGTCATAATGATGGCATGATGTTGCATGGGAATATAACAGACCGTTAGTAAAAACTTTTTCCATTTTCCATGAAATTTGGTATCTTGTTTTTCTTGAGTCACCGATTACAATTCTGTGTTCAGATATTCAAAGTTCGAAATGGAAAAAATATTGAATAGGTCATATTTAATTTGAAATCTTAATCGACAACTTTTTAATTTTTTCGGCAGCCATATTGGATCCGCCATTTTGGATTTCTTATTTTAAATGTCATATTCAAAACCATTGACCCCAAAAACTCTTTATAAACCCTCCAGGTTTTATTTTTATGCAAAACAAGCAATTTTGCATTCATAATTTTTAGTGTCATATTAAAAATCAGCGACCTCAAACACTTAGAAACTCTTCAAATTTCACTTCATGTAAAAAAAGCATTTTTTAATATTTTCGGGCGCCATATTGGATCCGCTAGTTTCAATTATATTTTTAATGTCCTATTCAAAATAAGGGATCACAAAAACTCCTTATAAACCCTCCAGATTTAATTTTTATGCATAACAAGTAATTTTTAATATTTTCGAACGCCATATTGAATCCGCCATTTTTCTTTTCTAATTTTTAATGTCATATTCAAAATCACTGACCCCCAAAACCCCTTAAAAACTCTCAGGTTTCACTTTTAATAAAAGTTTTATGCAAAACAAGCTATTTTCAATATTTTTGGTCGTCATATTGGATCCACATTCAAAATCATCAACCCCAAAATCCCTTTCTTTTTTTATGCAAAACAAGTAATTTTTAATATTTTCGGGCGCCTTGTTGGATCCGCCATTTTAAATTTATAATCTTTAATGTCATATTGCAAATCAGAGACCTCGAAAACCCCCTTAGAAATCCCTCAGGTTTAACTTTTATGCAAAATAAGCAATTTTTAATATTTTCTGGCGCCATATTGGATTGAACATTTTGAATTTATATTTTCAATGTCATATTCAAAATCATCGACCTCAAAAACCCTTAGAAACAACCCTTCATGTTTCACTTTTATACAAAACAAGCAATTTTTAATATTTATGGGCGCCGTATTGGATCCGCCATTTTACATTTCTAATTTTTAATGCCATATTCACGTCATATTCAAACCTCCAGGTTACATTTTTGTACAAAACAAATAATTTTTATTATTTTGGGGTACCATATTGGATCCGCCATTTTATATTTATATTTTTTAAAGCAATATTCACGTCATATTTAAAATCATTGACTCCCAAAAACCCTTTATAAACCCTCCAGGTTTCATTTTTATGCAAAACAAGTAATTTTTATTATTTTAGGGTGCCATATTGGATCCGCCATTTTATATTTATAATTTTTAATGCCATATTCAAAATGAACGACCACAAAACCCCTTATAAATCATCTATATGTAATTTTTATGAAAAAAAAGTAATTTTTAATATTTTAAGCACCATATTGGATCTGCCATTTTGCATTTTTAAAATCAGCTTATTTCACTTTAATGTAAAGCAAGTAATTTTTAATAATTAGCCATATTGGACCCGCCATATTGCATTTCTAATTTTAATGTCATATTCAAAATCAGCACCCCTAAAAACAAATGTTTATGAAAACGAATCTTTGATATTTTGGCCAAAAAATATTCGAAACGTCTTAAAAAGCGATTTCACAGAAAGCTGGTACAATCTGTAAATCTTCCTCTTAATAAAAACCTATTCTGTTATATTCTATTTCAATAATGATTTATTTTGCTATATAATTTCTTTTGTTTAAATTTTGTATATTTCTATTGTCTACAATTTTTTAAATTTCTATTGCCTAAAAGTTAAAGGTATACTTGATTTATATATAGAATGAGCTTAAAACAGCTGTTTCTATTTTTTACCAGGCAAGTAAAAGATCTAATTGCAATTTTAGGACGCAGATCCGTCAAAATGATGTAAAATAAAAATGTTATGCGAACCGCAAGCCAAGTTATTGTCTCCTTGGTCTGATGCTATTGGTTTGATATCTGCTCTTTAAGTCGAAATTCACTTACCTGGCCTTCAATCTGTTAGGAACATTGTACAGATTTGGCAAAAGACTTTCCGTTTTTTATTTATTCCTTGCGAATATTTTATAGTGTTTAAAACAAATTTTGTTTGTATTTTTAACAATTATTAGGCATATGAGAGAAACTGACTCATCAACGTACAAACAGCTCAAAATACTTAATTTATTGACGTGAAATTTGGACTAAATAATGTTTTTATAACGTAACCACAAATTAAGAAATGATTGTTGGGTTAGTTTTTTTATAAAAATACCTAAATATAAAAAATGTAAGCTTTCTGCTGGTGCCTGATGAGCCTCAAATAGGGCAAAGCCAGTTTCCAACGACAAGCAATCTTTATTTGAGGATTTCTAGAACTCAAACACCGAAGATGCTACTACAGACGTGAAAATATGCATTTCGAGACATCTAAAAATAAAGAAACAAATTACAAGGGTAGCTTATTTTATTTATGTCCATGCTTAAAGAGCCAAATAATTAAAAATATAACAAAGTTACGGGGGTGGATCAATTTTAGATACACCTTTAAAAATAATTTTACCGTTCCTCGGTTAAGGTAGGAGGTGTTTTTTAAGGTACTCATCTTTTAAACAGGGATTTAAGTATATTACAGATTTGAAAACTCATGTTGCAATTCTCCTCAAAAAATAAAAAAACAAACATTTTAAAAAAAATCTGTGATTATTTTCTCAGGGAAGACACTGAATGGGAATGTTTTGGAAATATTTATACAAATATACGTATTCATGCCAATTCTCTGTCAAAGAAACACGGGACATAACAATACTTACAATTTAATCTTTCAAAATCTCTCAAATAAATACAAAATGTGCAACTGAAATAAAATCAAAAATTTATTGTCCGATGCCGTATTTTTACAAAGTAAAAAATTTGTAAAACAAAAGGTACCGTTGTATGTACTAACGCGCACGCTAGATGCGCATATGTAAACATTCTAATATTTTAAAACGATGTTGCCATGTTGTACCCTTCCATTTCCTAGATAAGAAAATACTTCATTATTCTGCATCAAAGCTGTTGCAAATACAAATAAAAAGTACTTAAGTATTAAATACCAGTACTTATTCCAAGTAGAACTAAGTACAAATATTTTTTTATACCAGTACCGGAAATATTTAAATACTCAAGTATTTAGTTTAAGTGATACCATTGTATTTGGTGGTACTTTAAAACCAAGAATACATGTTAGAAAGTTTTTTCTCACCTGGTACACTTTACTCACTAGAACGACCAGTTAGTAATATTAGATTTCAGTTCAACTGCTGGAAGGTAAAATATAATAAATATATTATTAAACTGGGTAAGAATTATTTATTTGAAATGGAACGTATTAAGGTAGGTACCTATATAATTAACGTTTCAGCTACCTATCGATAACAATATCAAAATAAAAATAAAACAATTGTTGTATTGAAATTCTGAAGGGTATTTAACATCTCCAATGTGAACATCTTCCATAACCTCACATAATTTTCATTATTTAAACTGCTAGAAACTAAAGCATCTTTAAATTCGTTATAGCAAAGCATTTGTAGAGGACTTAAGAGTTTTTTAAGGTACTTAGAAGTATTCAGAAGTACTTAAAAGTACTTAAAAGTATTTGAATGTACTTAAAAGTACTTAAAAGTACTTAAAAGTACTTAAAAGTACTTAAAAGTACTTAAAATTACTTAAAAGTACTTAAAAGAATGAAATTAAAGCACGAGAAACGAAAAAAAAGTTTAATGAAAACAAAAAAAATATAAAGTTCGTTAATATTCATGTTCAAAAGTAGCTCGAAAAGATATAAAGTACTCGATTTGAAACTTTAGAAAAATTCAGAGCGGCCTTTCAATATTAAAATTTCGACTTGAAATTTTCAGGAACTTTATGATTTTTCTTATAGAAAAAAATAAAATAATGAGAAAAAAAATTTAAAACAAAAAAAAATCCGGTTTTCGACGATTTTGGAATGTTGTAAAATTTTTTTTGAGCTGTCCTTTGGAGTGGGCTCTTAAAACATGATAAACTAACATATTTTCATAGGAGACTTAAATAAAAAAAAAGGTTCGCTTTTTTTGGGCCACCCTAACCTACATATTTCGTTTTCGAAGAGTTCAAACGTCACTAATAGCTATTTATGAAACCAGTTGCGAAATGCCTTATTTTGTGCAACGAGTGAATATTTTCGGGACCAGCAGAGCGAGGTCCCGCAACATGAACGAGTTATATAAAACGTGTTACATACAATACTTTTTTTTTTAATTTTCACTAGATTATTTATAAAATTCTGTTTTTGGAAAAAATTACGTGTATTGTTAATTGCATATGATTAACTTCATTATTTTATTGACAAGTACAAAATAATCATAATTTATTATTTAGTGTATTGTACTGTATTTTAATTATTTTGTGCTGATTTAGAATGTAAGTTGAACCTGCCCTTCTCTGATATAAACTTTCAATAATAATGTATATTATTGATTTTAAAACCAAAAAAGGTATATTTTTATTTCTTTTCTTTTCGCAACTGATGACATAATGAATTTTTCGAAACCAGTTTCATAATGTTCAACATTATGCAACTGGATGCATTAAGTAGATCATTTTGACACTAGCAGCGATTACAAAAAATGTCTCTAATATGTCAAAATTAAAAAATATATTTTTGTTTGTATTTATTTATTAATTTTACTTCTTCGATATTATTTATTAATATATTATAATACAAAAATAGAAATCTGGCAACGTTGTACAGTTAAATTGTCACATTGCTTTATATGTGACAGGTATCGTTAACTCGTATAGTCCGAACGGAAACTATGTTTTTGGTTACAAAGAATGGCCACTCGTGGCGCTGTACACAGGATGGAGTGTCATTTGTCATTTTCATCCATTATTTATTGTGATTCATGTCATTTATTGTTTAATTGTATTTGGGAGTATCGTTGATGAATAAATAGAAAGTATTTTGTAAACTATTGTTTAATGTGATCTCATTCAGTTGTTTTTAATTGTGAGCTTATTTTTATTATTTGTGGTATTTTTTTGTTAAAATATGCCGTATTGTTGTGGTCTGCGGTATATGCAGCCAGCGTGCGCGTTAGTACATACCTACCTTCACTTTCCCTACAAATTTACAAAAAAAAAAGCATTCATATGATAAATACGTACCTTGCAGCTGTATGCAACGCTGTATCCCCGTAATTATTCTGGATATCAGGATCACATCCCGCCAGCAATAGTTCCCTACAAGATTGATTATGTCCATTTTGACAGCTCAGATGGAGAGCTGTGAATCCCCCAGCGTTGCAGCGATTGAGATTGGCACCGGCAGATGCCAGCAGTCGAACAGTTCTACCAAATCCCTTCCAAGAAGCTTCGTGTAAAGCAGTGTTGCCATGCTGAAAAAAAAAATTTCGTAAGAAAATAATCAATTTTATCCATTGTTGTAGGAGTGAAATTTGTATACTGATTTCATCCTAAATATTTAAGGTGACTCACATTCTAATAATTTTAAATTTTCCAGTAAACTTCATTCAATGACTTTTAAGAGAATCATAAATATTCAATTTTATTGCTTTATACTTAAAAACTTAGAAGTATGAGACTGACAAATAAATGGCAATGAAATATCACGATAACAGATTTGTGAGATATTTCCGGTTTTTAAAAATGATTTATATCAATAAGCAGCTATTCCATTAGAATTGGCATGAAAATAGTGTCAAAAATTCCAAAAGGAAAATATAAATAGAAGTTACAGAATTTTTAAAAAGAGGTAAAATTATAATAGTTCATTTTTTGGTATTTATATTGTTAAAGGCTTCTATAGGCATGTGGTTATATCAGTCGATTATAATTTTATGCAAAATAAAGATTTAATTTTTTTTTTGTGAAAACATGCTGTTATTTTAATTAATATTATTCAATATACGGATTCATTTGATATTATTAATATGAAGGTTAATTGTTAATTAATTTTTGAAAATAGTGATTGTAGTGAACACACTTTCAACTCGTCACATACGCCAAACTATCATCCTTCTTTCCGTAGTAGTTATTTTCCTAACAAGTGCGAGAAGTGATACATTCTCGCACGCAAAATCTGTTAGACAAACGACGCGGAGCGGTTTCTCCATTGGTTCATTTGTGCAGTGAACACCCAGTTAAATTTCATAAAAACACATTATTTTAATATTACATAAATAACATAAAAATATAAATTTAATTTTAATATTTTTATTTTCATTCGTGTTAATCTATATTTGTTTGTACATCATTGTCCTCTGGCTGACTTACTCTGAGGGCTGATCGCGTCTCTGTGTCACAGTAAACCTAAGTATACTGTGTCTGTGGCGCATTATGATGAGTAAGCACATACTTTGATTTTCTTTTACTATACGGAGAATGGTCGCACTGCGCAGCTTTCTGAGTGCCTTTTAAAAGGAGATAGAAAATTCCGCCATTTTGAACCCTTATTACGTGTTGCCTACACCTTGGCGCAATATTTTTAATAGGTGCGTTTTAATCATCCGCTTCTGCTTCGGAATTGTCGGTTTTCTTGTTTTAATCTGACAGGTTAAAACGACTAAAACGACAATTCCGGAAGCAGAAGCGGATGATTAAAACGCACCTGATATTTTGCTTGCTGCTGTCAGTGTCAGTGAATATTATTTTTGAAGTCACAGTTTATTGCTAAAGAATCAGTTAGCTCACTCGGACCAGTTGAAAGTTTCAAAATAACATCCACTCCAGGGATACAAATTCAGGATACGCAGAAGACTGCTGTTTTATTGTAGGCGGTTGTCATATATTGTATTATCCGAGTTGCGCAGTGTATAAACTGGAACATTAAGATCAAAAGTGCCGACGCAGAGTGAGCGATCTGATTCTTTAGCTGTAATAAACTGTGTCATAGGGTTCAAAATGGCCGCGCTCTATGTTGTGCGTGTCGGACCTCTCTCTTGCCCCGTATAGTAGTCAAAGTCTGTGACCTAAGTATACTGTGTCTGTGGCGCATTATGATGAGTAAGCATAAAGGTGAGTTCACATTGCTCGCGAACAGTACGAACGAACACAACAAGCGCAACAAACAGCACGAATGAAACAAAACCCATATTCGTCGTGTTTGGGCTGTTTGCAGTGTTCCTCGTGCTTGCAATCACCCAAAACACCTGTTTTGACTGTTCGGTCGGGTAGCGGTACATCAAAGGGATGCATATTGTGCGCGCGAGCACCGTTGACGGCGGTTTGGTGATATTTTGTGTTTACTGTTCGCTTTCAAGTTCAGTCAAGTACGAGCGTACGAGCAAGGCGCAGTGCAATATGGAGTGGACTGAATAATACATTTTGAAGCTAGTTGGGCTTTACGAAACTTATTCTGTTTTGTGGGATCCACAACATAAATTTTATAAGCTAAATAATAAAAAAATGCTATTCTTTTTTAGGATACGTGGACCAACTAAATTAATTAGTGTTTCAAAATCGGTACTACTCATGCGAAAAAAATTATTAAAAAACATCCTATCTGTTTGCAAATCATGGAGAAGATTACTTCCACTGTATTTCAATCTACTTTTAAAAATATCTGATATCCAACACCGTCTTTTTGTCACTTTTTTTCTTGTTCTCTCCATTTTATAATAATAATTAACGCACTGGCAGCCGCCGTTATTATTAATTGATCATCCATGTCGGAACCTTAAGAGCGCAAACACAGAACCACAATGTGGACACCTTTGCTTGCGGATAAAACGATCTTGACAAACAGAAGAAACACAAAAAGCAACGTTCCGGAAACAACATAAGCGCGATCAAGAGCACGAGAGACAGCACGAACAGGAGCAATGTGGACCCACCTTAGCACGAGTGAGACGATATGCAGAATGCATATAGCTAAAAAGAAGACAACACGCCAACAGATCCTTCAAGCTGTCAAAGAACACATTAATTGGCGCGCCGCTCACAAACAAGGTTGCCAAACCAGTTTTGCCAGTCTAGTACAATTCACAAATAGCTACGTTCGTTTGATCTGTCTACAGGCACAGCATAATTTTGTAATTAACCATAGGAATAGAGTAAGGGTTATATTTTAATATTTTATCATTCCATTTCTTTTATTTTGCATAATAATTATTTTTCTTTAATTATATTTGACCATAAATATGAGACGCATGAAACTGGCTGAACACTAGTTCTTTTTGGTCTTAATAGGTTGGCAACATTTTTCGTTAGAAATTTGTCAATTCTATGATCGAACTGTCACTTGTTTTCTTGTTAAAAAACAACTTGGTTTTTTTGCATTGTGTTAAATACTGTTGAGTAATTAGTTTCCGAGCTTTTTGTTTTGTCCAAGGGCCCCCGTGCCAATGTTTATGTTACTTTTATTTTGGATGAACCTGGTTTTTGACGTGTTGCTGGATCCCAGTAGCAGAGAAAACCCTCAAAAGAGGTAAGTCATTTCATTTGCTGCTCCAGCATTTTCTTTGTCTGGCAAAACACTCATATTTTAATATATACAGGGTTCTTCCCGTGGATGAACAAGAGAGCCACAGGTGGCTATTCTCAGAAAGCTACAGAATGGAATTCAAAACGGGTGTTTCTTTATTTTCTGTATGATTTAGTTTTAAGAATACTTTTTGTTTCTTTTATTTACAACCAGTTTGTAAATATTATTTTGAGTACTGAAAACAATATACCTTAATTTTAACAAGACGTCTCGGATAGGTATAAATAAACCTTCTTATTTTATTATTCATATATTTCTCCAACTATTGGCGAATGAATTGAGAGGATATTCTCCATTTTTCTATTGACTATAAATTTAACTGTTTAAAAATGAATTGAGTATTTTCAATTATATTGTTTCTACCGTTAATAAATTTAAATGTTGATAAGTGGATTGAGAAAATACTTCCAATTTTATTACTTTTAGAGTTTGATTCATCAAATGAATTGGGTAAATATTGTTAATATATCATTATTTCTCTTTTTGAGCAAAGAACGTTTGTATAATTTAATGCTCATCGAACAAACTGAGAAAATATTATTAATATATCACTTTCATTTATTTTTCTATTAAATTCAATCTAAATTATGTATGACTTTTATTTCACAGAATATCATGATCATCTCTACAAGTGTCTATTTGCAGATTCATGTATTTATGGTTTAATTATTTAAATTTTTTTTACTATGGTTTCTGAATTTACCTTTAGATTTTAAAAACTTCTTTATCAAATAATACCAAATTTTTTAATTTATAAAAAATTCAGTTGCATCCATCTATGGTTTAAATACCCTTTTTTGTATTTTATTTAAGTGTACCTAAAGTCAATTTAAAATAATTAAATTTCAAGACAACAAATCCTTACTCACACCTTTATGCCACCGATGGTAAAGCTGCTGTGCTGTATATAACCTAAACTCTGTCAAAAGAAAAAAATAGTTTACAAAGTTGAATATTATTATTGAACTTTTTAAATTGTTTATTTCACCTTATACATTTTTTTTCTACTCTTCATACAGTAATATGTGAAGAGTATTATAAGTTTACTTTGTCTGTCTGTCTGATGTCACGTTTTTTGTCTGCACGATAAGTCAAAAACGAGAAATGATATGAACTTGAAAATTTTAAGCAAAAATCAAGCTCTATAAGGGGACAAAGCCTATTGATTTTTAACAAATCTGATTAAAAATAGGGGGTTAAGATGGGTTGAAATTAAAAAAAATCCTAAATTAAAAACGAAAAGCAATATCAATATGAAATTTTTAGTAAAAATAAAGCTTTATAAGAAGATAAAGCCTATTGATACTGAAAAAAATATGAATATATTGGGGAGTTAAGGGGGGTTAAAATATAAAAAAAATCCTAACTGAAAAACTTGAAATTTTTAGCAAACATCAATCTCTAAAAGGAGAAGAAGCCCTTTCATTATAAAAAAAAAATCTGATTAAATATGGGGGATTTAAGGGGGGTTGAAATAAAAAAAAAACATCAAAAATGAAAAGCGATATCAAAATGAAATTTTTAGTAAAAATCAAGGTCTATAAGGAGATGAGGCCTATTGATTGTGAAAACAATCTCCTTAAAAATGGGGGTTAAGGGGGTCTGTTAAACTACGAAGAGTATCATTTAAAATGGCAGGCATTATATATCTTTATTCTAGTTTGTGTCTGTGTAATATTATGTATTGTGATGGGACTGATCTTATAAAATAAACATTTAAAACATTTTAGTCCTTATTTTATTTGCCAATAAAAGGTATTTAAAAAATATATTTTTTATTTGAAATCTGTGACAAATTGTAAAAACTTACAATAAAAACTAAAAAATGGTAGGTAAAGTTTCATATAAATTTTTTTACATAAAAATCAAGCTTTCTACATAACCTGATATATA